ATCTTCTATATATATATATATATATATATATAGAATTTGATGCAAGATTAATGGGTGCTCGAGCACCCACCATGTAGGTCCATCCTTATTCATAGCACAAGTAGTCTCGGAAGGGATGAGACTAACAATGGAAGCCTGCAATACCCATCTATGGATGACTACTGCTCTCCATTCCCGCATAGCTCTATTATTTCCCTATATTCCTTTTATTATGTACCCACCTAGGAGATGTTGTTACTCAAGCCTTTGGTCCATGTAACAACATTAAACCCAATCATATTCCTCAGTAGGTCCAGAAGTTGTGATAACTCCATGGGGAACAACATTGTGGTAGCCCTAGAAGTTCCTCCAGTCAGCCCACCCATTATCCATTTAAGTAAATCGAAAACAACACCTCTAGAAACTCTCTGCCATGGGGCCTCAACTTCCCAAGTACCTACTCATACTCATACCCCACCCCCTGGAGAACTTAGTGCAAAACATAGAATTTGATCAAAGTCTAGGACAGTTAAAGGAAGCCTTAGTACCTTTGAGGGGGACAAGAATAGAAATTATGATTTTAAATGATATAAAAGTAATGTTATTCAAAGAGAGATTCGTAAAAAAAAATCGTTAGATATAAGATCTCCATGCAACCTGGAATTGGGTATAGAAAACATCATAATAATAATTAACTCAGTGATAAGGACTGGGAACCAACTAAATCTAGCACCAAGGCGAAAGTGAACCAACCTATAGAGGAGGAAACAAAACAAAATTTATGATTAACTTTAGGTCTCTTATGGAATGTCACATGCCACCTCTTGTTGATCTTATAGAAATTAAAATGGAAAACCATCATGTATTAGTTGATAACTTCCCCTTTAATAGAATGATTGAAGTCCCAATTGTGTGCAACTTCAAAGGAATGGTTTTCATTTGGGACGACTCCATCTTGAAGTTGGATGACATCGCTACAACTAGGCTAGAAATACATGCAATGGTGAAGGTATATTCATCTAATGACACATGGCTTATTACTTGCACTTATTCTATCCCTTGATTAAACTCACATAAAACTCTATAGGACAACCTTAGGAGAATAATGACACCTATCGAATTAAATGGATAATAGGTGGTGACTTTAACGAACTTTTAACAAGAGAAGAAAAATAGGGGGAACACCATTGAACAAATTCAGTACAAGAGAATTTTGGAACATAATCAACTATTGCGAACTAATAGACTTGGATTTTCAAGGCGGGAAATACACTTGGATAAATAAACGGTTTAAGAATAAATCTCTCCTTATCCTAGAAAGAATACACCACTTCTTGGCAAACGAAAAATGGATCATGTGCTTCCAGATCCTCAAGTACATCACTTAGCCCGTACTCACTTGATCATTGTCCCCCCCCCCCCCTCTTATCCTTAATGTAGGCTAGACCTTCTAATTGAACTATGATATCTCACTTCAAAATGATGTGGACTTCACACCAAGATTTAAGGAACAATATCACAAATAGTTGGGATAGGAAAGAAAACATTTCAGACGCTATCTATGACATCCAAAAAATGTCTCAATATGGGATTATACTAAATTCGGCAACATATTCCATAAAAAAGAAACATACTAAAAAGGCTGGAGAGTTTACAAAAATTCTGTAACTATCCTACTAGCTCTTTCCTTCACAATTTAGAGGCCACACTCATTAGGAATATAACCTCATCTTAAAACTAGATGAAGACTTTTGGAAACTAAAATCCTGGTCAATTGGCTCAACGAAGGTGACTCTAATACAAGATTCTTCCATACAAAAACTTAAATAGAAGGTGTCTAAACCGTATACCAGCTCTACGAATTGAGAATAGGAAGTATTTATAAGAACATGATAGCATAAAAAGTCTATCCCAAGTCTTTTTCTCTAAGCTATTTAGAACATCCAAAGAATCTAGTCCTCTCAACCCTCCCCAAAACCCCATCATCACTCAGTTGACCTCCATTCAGTAGGAGTGACTCCTTCCTAAGCAGAGATAAAATAAATGTTGTCAAATCCTTTTATTCCTACAAAGCTCCGGGTCCAGACAGCCTACATCCCTATTTTTTCCAAAATTACTCGGATATTGTTGGAGAATCGCTAACTTTTTCATGTTCCCAAGTTTTTCTCCACCACAACATTCCAAAAGAAATCAACAAAACTCATACATTGCTCATTTCAAAAAAAAGAAATGAGGAAACACTCTTAAAGACATTAGACCCATTAGCTTTAGCAATAATACATATAAAATTATTACCAAAAATAATTGCTAATTGCTAGAATTCCTTCATGAACTCCTTAATAGGTCCTTGCCAATCTAATTTCTTGATAAATAGGGAAGTCACGAACAGTACCATACTAATTCAAGAAGTTATTAGCCATTTCCATAAAAAAAAAAAGGGGGGGGGGGAGGGAATGCAAATATGATTCTTTAAATTGATCTAGAAATAGACTTCGAAAAAATTAAATGGTCCTTTGCGCGAGACACGTTGATCTAATTTTGATTACTAGATCATCTACTGAAGTAAATAATGTCTTGGATCTCCTCAAGAAGTGTATCTATCTTGGTTAACAGGGATCACAGAGAATACTTCAATCCAACTAAAGGAATAAAGCAAGGATTCCCCTATATCAGAACGTATTCATCCTAAGTATGGAATGCTTTCTAGGAAAATGTAAAGGGAAGGTCAGGCAAGACTTTGAAAGCACAACAAAATCTCGACTAAAGTTCCATCCTTGTCACATCTTTTCGTTGTCGATGACTTAATATTGATGATTAGGGATGATAAACAAAAGTGATCTATAATTAAAAAGTCCTAGGTAACTTTTGCCAAAGCTCGGGCCAATATATCAACTATCAAAGTTAAAAAAAAGTTTCAATTCCAAAAATTTTGTCACATACCTTAGATTTGGAATTTCTAACTCGCTAGGAATTAAGTCTGACCTGACCTTTGGGAAATACCTAGGCTTCCCTATTTTTATGAAAGCCCTTAACATTAAGACTTCCAATTTATCATTAATAATCTACACCAAAAGCTATCGGGGTAGAAACCAAATTTCTCAACGCAGCCTTTAGGACGACACTAGCCAAAGCTAGCCTAAGTAACATTCCTACCCATATTATGCAATCCATCAACCTCCCTAAAGTAATAACTAAAATAATAGATCAAATTCAAAAAACTCCATTTAGATAACTACAAACACAAAGAAAAAAATTCACATGAATAAATAAGCATCGTTGACGCAGCAAAGGAGGAGGGGGGTCTAAGAGTCGAAAGAGTGAAAACAAAGAACAAAGTATTACTAGCCAAACTAGCGTGGGGAGCCTTTACAAACCAAACTCAACTTGGCATCTATACTAATCAACAAATTCTCAGGATCTAATTGTTTCCCTACTGACCTAAAGAAAAAATCAATTCATAGTAAAATCTAGAAATATTGGGAAAGGGTGGGAAATATGTAAAGTTAGACTGAAATGGTTCATTTGAAACAGATTGAATATATCCCTTTCTTCTGACATTTGGTTCCAAAATAACACCACCATTAGAGAAATTATAGCATGTACCTTCATGCAACATGAATACAACCTAACGGTAAAGGACCTCCTAACAAACAAAGGCACATGGAAACTCAATATGCTATCACTCAGCTGCCAGAAAAAGTTACAAACCTTATTCATATCCTCCATTTTCCCACAACAATTAACAAAGACAAATCCTCCTGATTTATAACAAAACAAGTCTATTAAAAACCAACTCAGCATACTAGAATGCTAGCAAAATAGATAGTCCTCCTAAGAATAAGAACTACTCCTTTAATTGGATATGGGGTCTCCACTCGCAAACAAAATTAAATACTTCTTATGGTCATGTAACCATGGTAGGCTACCAATGTCCCCCATATAAGCAGCTTAGAAATTAGAGAGAAATAGTGATTGTCAAATATGCAATTCACCCAAAACTATTCACTTTATCTTCATTGATTGTGTCATAGTTAGAAGAATCTGACTTAAGTTAGGAAGAAACATGCCCACAAATAGTTGTGATGCTGATCAGGAAAAAAATGGCTAGACTTTCTTAGAAAAATAGACATTATAATCAAAAATGTTAATGGAGAATCTAGCTTAATAGAACTTAAGGAAAACATAAATCCTAATATATATTATACACATACTATGGAATTCATGTCCCTGAATAACCCAAGACCAACTAGAAGCAGACCCAAATTTTTATAGGTTAAGAAAAACCTCAAATAGGTCATAAACCAAACATGGACGTCTCCTCAAACAAACTAACTGGAAAAAATAGTGTAGAAGAAGTCATTAGAGATACTACTAGGAATTGGATCATAGGGTTCATAGGAGACTTATACGAAGAGAACGATATCACTTCTGAGTTGTATGTCTTTCATAATGGACTAGTTACGGCAAACGATAACAAACCATTAGCCATAACAATTAATATGATTGCAAAGAAATTATAGGTCTTTTAATTAATAACCATCATGCTTACTCCAATATCCTATGTGATTGCAGGACACTTCTCGCAAACTGGGGAACTTGCAGACCAACATAGGTTCAGAGAAGAGAACCACTTGCCAAATGGTTTAGCTAAGGAGGGATCGAAGCTAATGGATGCTAACTCTTTTATTTTTTTGGAAAGTTCCTACATTGTTTTTTCAGCAGTAGAAACAGTAGATAAGGAACTTCTACTATTATACATATTAGGCCTACAATAAGTGCAAATGATTGTCATTTGTTTTTGTCGATCCCTAAGCCCATTTCTTTACTCTTAATTTTCTTTTCAAAAAACAATAAATATTTGAGAGCACGCATAGTGTTTTCACCAATTAGGTAAAGATCCATTCAAACAAACGCAGTTTCGGTAAAGATCCAATCTTTATCTTAAGTTTTGCCTAACAACTCTTAGTGGTAGAATAAAAGAAGAGAAAGACCTATCATTAAACCTGACATAAAATGATATCTAACATTTTGTAATCACAAAGTAATGCACACCACACACTAGATAGCAACTAAAAGTCATTGATTTACCTGGAATCACTAAGAATCCAACAAATTGAAAAAACACTGCATCAAAACAAGTCATATACAACAAAACCAGAGAGATGAATATAAAACAGAGATCTTACGGTTCTCCACTAGATGAACCATTTTCATTGCCTCTCAATCGTTTCATGCTGCAAAAATTAAAGAGTAATAATAAGTTTTACAATAAAAAAAAAAGAAAAAAGGGTATGATCCATTCTTTATAAAAAGAACTAACCTTTGGGGTTTTGAAGAAAAACAAAAAGCTTCAACAGATCTATCAACAAAAAAAAGTTATATCAATAGTCTAGAAAAAAAATTAAAAAAAGTTCTTTCAATTCATTTTTCTCTACCTTTACCCCTCTTTTGTTTCCCTCCTATTGGACTAGGAAGAACTGCAACATACACAAAATAAAGTTTGAGGCATATATATTAGTGACAGGTTTGCACATTTTGGAGTACATAAATGACCTTAGATTTTTGTTTATTATACATCTGGTCTCTTTTATCAAATGTTCTCTTTGTAATTAGATAACTTCAGACAATACAATATTATTATAGGCTATTTGTCTACAATTGTAAAATTTACTAATATTCCAAAAGGGATCAATTAATTTTCTTGGTAGTAATTTTTATTAAGTTATAAATTTGTGGAAAATGTAATCTATCTCAAAATGGAAAAATAATTTTTGAGGTATACGACAAAATTATAAGACTTGTTGGATGTTTAAAATTTAAAATAACAATTCAATTTTAGTGAAAATGAGTTTGATTATATCATATTTTATATATTAATTTGTAACGACCCCTTTCATCATTACTTGAAGGGCTGCGATGAATCGAGTAATTTAAAATTTTTGGAAAGATTAATTTTTCATTTCACCCACATTGACCTTACAAGTCAAAGTTGACTAGTCCATGGACTTCTTCATAGTGAAATCCTGTCCGCAAAGTATATTCAAAGAAACGATCCTCCCTCCCTTCACTTTGTCTTCATCACTCTCAGGAATGTGTTTTTATTTGAAATTTTGATTTACTTTACTCCGGGATGATCCTTGTATGAAGATTGTGGTAAGCTATTGTGTTGAAGCTGAAGGGTGTGTTTAGTTATAGGTTGTACCACCTGTGGGGTTTTGAAGTTGTTAGTAGCATGTCCCTTTGGTTGCCAGTACGTGAGTATTAGTGAATAAGTTGTTAGAACCTAATGGGTTTAGTTGAACTTGTATATGTGGAATTATTGTGCTTATTCGACCTATTGTCAGTGTATTAAAATCATTCCTACCATGATGACTGCATTGAATTTGTGATTTTATGTAAAAATAGTCATTTCTGAACTGGAGATGTATGAGCTAGTTTTTGTCCAGCTTTCAGGTTTGGTTGTGGAGTAAGGTTGTGTGATTCATGTTCTTGTATTGGGTATTTCGAAGTCTAAGTAGAAAGAACTTTTTGGTCGTGATTAGTGGTGCTTAGGCCCGAAATCGATGCATATGTAGTTGTGTGATGTCTTAAGTAGCAATCTAAGGATGTTGATATGTCAATTCTGGGAAGTTTGCATTGAACAAAGTGTAGAATGGTGTGTGCACACCACTTATAGTTGTACTATTGCTCTATAGTTAGTGGGTTGAACAATTTCTGCTTGCAGGTACTCATGTCAACTTCTCAAAGACCTGGGAAGGAAGTTACAACCTCAATCCACAGGAAACCTGTCCAGAGTAGGATGTCCCACCCACACTTGCAACTCCCAAGGGTCAAACTAGGCGATTTGGGGTAAAGGTTGTCACCAATGATGTAAAATCATGGTAAAAGATCACATTGAGGGATCATATTTCTTTGAATTTTGTATTGACAAGAACATCCTGGCGCGTGAACTCCACAGATCCTGAGGCGGATTAGGGAGATAGGGATGGAGTTCATATTCGCTGAACTGACAGAGTGAAACTTCCACATGGTCCGAGGGTTCTACACTAACTGATCACTTCAGGAAAGATCCCATTATGTGATGGTGCGAGGAAAGAATGGACATATTAGTTAAACCATAAGTTAGAGACCCACTTGTGCGGAAAGGGTTGAACATACGCCCTCCATACCGTGCTATGTGACACATTTTGTGTAATCCACAGACCATGGAACAATGGACTAAGCATAATGGGAAGAGATATCACCAATCTTTTCCCTACGCTCACATGCTTGGGGAGGCATATGCTTATTGAAGGTGGTCATGAACTGTTTGATACCGGGTCTCCACTACACTGATATTACTCGCAAAAGGGCGTGCTTTTATGCTTTGATGACTGAAATGGAGCTCAATGTTAGAGCTATTTTGAAATATGTTATGAGAAAAGAGCGGGTGCACAAAGGCCACGGGTATGCTTTTGTGGTTTGATTACAAAAATTTGTCATGTTGTAGGTGTTCCTGAAGAACATGTGGACTACATGGAACTCCTATATCCAGCGCAAGTGGACATTACTCAGACAAATGGGCCTGACACTGAGTTTGGTCCAACTCTCACCACTCCTAAGCACCAAGGGAGGGACGAGCTAATTGTGGTCAGGATGTATGGCTTAGATATGTTGCGCCATCAGAATGGTTATTGGTCATCTACGGATCTGCAGTTGGGCAAGGTAAAGAGACGCTACCTTTTGAATGACCATGTTAAGGCACTACTTGGCATTGGTCATGCGTTTCATGAGTTGGTAAATAATGATATTCCGACCGATGAGGAGAACGTGCATACCAGCTTAGACGTAGAGTCCGAATTGAATGAGGAGGTAGACCCGAATCAGGCCGGTGATAAGGAAGTAGGGGTCATGCAATGGAGCACCGATCAGGGAGTGTTTTCACCTTACCTCTTGAACTATTCTGAAATTTTGTAAAGCACTAGGGGCATTGCTATTGTATAAATGTGGAGTGAGGGGTGAAAAACATGCATGGTATTATTGAACATTGTTAGAGTCTGTGTTTATCTTTGTTTTGTTTTATTTTGGGTTCCTTGGAAGTTGTTTCCGGTTCTTGTCACGACCCAAGGGTATACCCTAGAATAAATGGCATCCTCAAGTCTCCATACGGCATACTCAACCTCTCGGAGGTATTGCACAAGCCCTTAGACATCAATCATCGCATATATATGAAAATTAGAGCGGAATTAAAACTTTTCACAACAATAGTACAATTGTTCAAAATCTCTTTTATGGAAACATACAAAAGACTAAGTCTCCTTGTAGTCATCTTAGACACATGAATATCTTGGGTCACAACCCATACATCAACAAAATGGAAAATATCAAAGTCTAATAAAATATATCTTGAAAATAAAAGCTAAACATAACTATGTCCTCGAATCATGTGAGGACATACCAAGACTTGCTTGAAAGGATGCTAATTCCAAACTTGCTTCTGATAGACTCCTCACTTGCCTCCTACACCTTTAGAGATAAAAAAACACATGGAATTATTACATTGAATTCACTAAGTATGGTGACATAAAGTAAAGGCATGCTAAAATGGACATTTACTTTATAATATGCTTTAAATGCTCTTTTGAATAAAACCTCATAAAACAAGCATAAGAACCATAGTCACACCAATCTTAAAATATATAATATCAAGTAATCCTCAATATACAACCATCATCATTTAGAAACCACATAAGCATATAGACCTCCTACCAAAGGTCATCCTAAGACCCACTTAATCAAGATATGAAGTGGCCGCCCATAGAACCCCTTCACACACACGTAAGTGATCCTAAAGACTACCTAAATCAAGATTATTCCCTTTTCATCAATTAACTCTCTAGATAGAGTTACTCTAATACTCACCTAAGTAAGTCATGAAGAGATCGCCTATACATCCCCTTCAAGCCTACTTAAGCAATTCTCAAAGCTACTCTAGACAAGTACCTTTTAATTCACATGCATTAACTTAAGTCAGCAACGTTCATTTAGACATTTTATATGCATTAAACTATTAAGGACCTCACATAATGGTCTTGGAGAAGACCTAGGGAACCCTCATCCTAGCATCTTAAAAGCCTACTCATGCCATGTATAGATAGTGTCCCATTCCACTACCTACACGTTGTAAAACTTCTCCAATACTAGAATGCATCCCACATGATGAGAATAATCATTACCGACATAGATCATACTATCTATGTATGGAATCCGGAGTCTACCCTACTCCGAGAAAGGGTGTCCTACATTCCAAGGGTAGAACTAGGACAACATCTCATGTAGGGACATGGTTAAGGAATATCAAGGGTTTCTTTGTACTCTAGTCTCAACTTAATTAGAGTCACTACCACAAGCATATACACTCGATGCTTAGTATGTTATGTTACATCTTGATTGGTAGACTTAGGTTCCTCTCTTTGCCTATCCTTAATGTATGAAAGGTATGAATGTGATCTCTTGACTTGCTAGGCTTAGTCATCCTTTTCTTGAGCAATGATTGAATGAATGTCTAGAATCAGTAGAATCAAGTATGGTGTGCTTTCTGTAAATGATAAATGATATTTTAGGTTGTCTTGAACCGGTAGACCTAAGAATGGTTCCCATTTATGATGAGTCTAAATCCCTAGGTGAATGTAAAACCTTGAAGCGGTAGACCTTATGATGGTGCCTCCTTCTCATGTGAAATGATAGACTTAGAGATGGTGGGACGGAATGGTAGAAAACCTTATTTAAGAAAGTCAATGAGCTATCCTTAATGAACATTGATCGGTAGACCTAAAATGGGGCTCTTCTTGGTAGAAGTACTATGGTTTGGTAGACCTAATGATGGTTCCCTCTCTAGTACATACATGTGAATGAAATTCTCGGTTGGAACTAAGGCTAGCACCGAGTGGATATGGTTAAGATGGTGTTTCTTCCCGAAGAAAAGGTTAGAGTCCAATTAACATCTTTGGATATCCCTTAAGCCATGTGCCTACGTGTGTTTGCTTTTAAATTCTACCCTTGGCAGGTAGAAAACCTTCCACGGTGTGGGGTCTTATGACACCGGATTCCATGCCTAACTAGTGTGGTCTACATCGGTTAACACCTTATTCCCATCATGTGAGATGTGCACTCTTGTTATTAGAGAGGTTCTACAATGTGTAGGTACTAGTAGTATGGATGCTATCTACACATGGAGCGAGTAGTCTTTGAAGGTGCTAAAGTGAGTTCCTTAAGACTTTAAAGACTATCATGTGAAGTCCCCTAAATGCAAGAATATCTCCTTAAATTTCTATTTTGATGAATGTTGACTTATTGGTTATGTTGAAAACGAAAGGTCTCTATCCTTGGTATTCTTGAGGAACACTTAGGTATATATGAAAAGGTTGTATGGGCGATCACTTCATGTCTTACTTAGGTGGGTCTTAGGATAACCTTAGATGGAGGGTCTAAAATGAGGGAAAAAGGTTACTTGATGAATATGGTCATGATTTACATTGTAATATCATCTAATAT